ATGTTTCTCATTTCCTTTAGGTACTGCGTGAGGGGTATGGATTACGGCAAGAATCCAAGATTCAATGTCGCACTCTACCGCAATCTGTTGGATCACTTAGGCCCGGATGACGTACGTCATAGCTTTTAACTTTTGCTCAATTAAATTATTTATACATTACTTTTGTGTTAACCTGATTTAAATTTTATCGTAGTTTGTATGGAGACCATATTTGGGTTTGGGCCATGATCCAAACCCGGAGGATGCAACAACTTGGACCGCGAAGACTGCAATCATTCGGTTCAACATTGTGGAGATGCACCACAACGACCGTGTGAAGATGCAGTTCGGAATGCATCAAGAGATACCAAGTGATCCAACTTGTTTGTCCCCATGGCATCTTAAAAGGGTCGACGCCCAGTGGGGTCTTACCAACTGGAAAGACTTCACTCCGGAGTGGTGTAAGATGTGGCAGAGGCGTCACCGCTATGTCTTGCAATTCCCAGTTTTCATAATTCAAGGTAATATGCGACACTCAGATCAATATTTGTCTTGGTACAGGTCGGTTAGTAACCCTAAAATGCACATGTCTCATCCAAGGTACTTGGTTGACCCACGCACACAATGGGCACAACCCTCGGTTCCCCAACAACAAACCCAAAACCCATTAACCTCTCACCAACCCCCAAGAAAAAACAGACTCACAAACACCCAACTACAGTCCCCACCACAACAAAACTACACTCAAATGCCACACAACCAACCACAATCACCACCACACTACCAATACCCCGATATGCCTCACACCCAACCATAATACCAATCCCAATACCAGCACACCCGCATACCCCACACACAATTTCAGTCTTCCACATATCCCAATATGGGCCCCTCAACATCCAGCCTTAGCCCTGATATGGGAATGTCAGAAGATTACGAACAAACCGACCCAACCTACCATCAACCACAATATCACCAAACCACCCAACATCCTCAATACCAAACACCCCAAGATCCATTTCCTTTCTACCCACCGTACTCAGACGATCAATGCTACAGACCCACTATGGAACCCCACCCACCGCCAACACGACCAAACTTTAAGGGTATGGGTAACCGACTGTACCAAAGCGGATCTTCTAGATATGGAGATCTGACTGATTTTATGGATCCGGGCCGCATTGACTTCACTGGGCCATCGACCTTGCCGCAGCAGGAAACGCGACGACACCCAGCACGAGAAAGGCGAGGACGGGGATGCGGAACCGGGGGTCATTACCGGGTTCCGGGGGATCACTGATTTATCTGTTTTTTTTTCCTGTATTTTTTTATCCATTTTTTTAATCTGTTTTTTTATCTGTTATTTTAATGTAATACAGTTGGATGTAATTATTTTTTTTTAATAAAAAGTTCATTTTGTTGATCCTCTGTCCAACACGCAACGCGCCGGACAAAAAAAAAATCAATTTTTGCCCTAAAAATACACCTAGGCGCCATCTCACTTGGCTTAGGGCATGCCCTAAGCACATAGGCGCCAAGTGAGATGGCGCCTCCCCTTAAAATATAGGTGCATGCGCCATTTCAGATGGCTCCTCCTTTGGGGAGTCATCTGAAACATGGTTATTTGCGTATTTTTTTCCGAAACGCGGTTATTTGCGAAATATTATTTTAATAATTGGTTATTAATAAAAAAAATTCACATTAATAATCATATAAAATTCTGAGTTTTCAGTATTGGTAGCACGAAGAGCTTGTACCACTCTAAGCCATTCTGTTTCAAACACAACATGATCCAGATTTTAAGCGATAGTGTTCTAGATTGCTTCTTTAAGAGCTATAGCTTCTGCTTCCAAGACGGAAAGAATACCTGGACCCACACCACCCCTGCAAAGACATAATTGACATATTCATTCCGAAAACACCAACCTCTATTCGAGGTACCACAATTCCTGTTAAACCCAACATCCAGGTTACATTTAAGCCTACCAGGGGAAGGTGCACTCCAACCTTGCGATTGATCGTGATTGTTATTACTATCTTGATGACGTTGAGCCGAGAATCAATCCCGCCACTAATGATACGCAAGCCAACCAAGCTTGAGACCCTCATCTCTTTCATTATTCCAGATAGCATCATTCCTATTTTTCCACAACACCTCCAACATGAATACAAATCTGTTAGACGACGACAACGTATCTAGAGAGAGGGTGAATAGATACCCCTTTTAAAATTTATACAAAAATTTGATTTTGAAAATTTGTTTTATTAAAGAGCGACGCAGAAGCTTTTTCCAAATATCGTCTATTCGAACGTTATTAGAAACTCGGATATATAAACCGTAACAACAAATATAATATGAAACAAAAACAACAAATTGAATTAATATACTTCAATCACTTAACAACTTATTTAATATTTATCACAAGTTACTAGTAAAGCTATTTTCAATGGAAATATTTAAAAGAACGAGTTGAATCAATTTATCAAACACTTGATGTGCAAGTGAAGTTTTAAAATTTTCCTTTAGTTGTGTTGATACGCAAAACCACTTATAATCAAAAGTGATTATAAGTTATATCAATATTTGATTTATAATAAAAAAACAGTTCGAAAAATTCTTACAATTCAATTGATAACGCAATGCTATTTGACAAATTGTTCTATGAATATCAAAGCAAGTAAAAGCAAAAATAAAAGAGACACAAGGAATTTGTCTTCACAATTCCCCATTGTCGTCCTCGCGTGTGGGTACGTCTGTGCCTAATTCCTATGGAATTAGGATAATTCTTACTATGCAAAATTATTGATACAAGATAAGTGTTTAAGAGCAACTCCACAAACCCTAAGCTTGTTGTTGATTGAAATCCTTCTCCACTTTTGATCTTGAGAAAGACCAAGACACAATAGATACAAATTGAATATCTGGATCTTTTTACTCCTTTGCTTTCTTTATCTCCAAAGATTTCACGCACCGTCAATTTCAACTATTACAACACAAGACTTCAATTGTAATCCTCTGTTCTCGTGCTACTTCCTTTGCTTTCTTTATCTCCAAAGGCTCCCTTGCATTCTTTATCTCCAAAGGACTTCACTTGGCCGCAATTACCTCTCCAACGTATTGCACCAAAAATCTCAAATCAACCAATGATCTTGGAGGACAAACCTGTGGTTTTTCCTGGATGAAAACCCCTACATAGCTGAACCCAATATACAATTGGACAATACCAATCATCGTCTAGATGATACCCCAATGGAACATCATTACAATGTAATGTCAGTGTGTATGCATAGGTTGCAGGTTGAAGATGAAGAGAGAAGTATGTTAATGTTATGGTTTCACCAAGTTATGAATGATGCATGAATGAGTATTTATAGTTTTGAAATAATTAGGGCAAGAAGGATAGTTAGGAAGTAAAAAAGTTGACCAAGCAGTCAGTATGTGTCGATATGTGTATCATATGTATCGACACATACTTTATTTTTAAGTTGTATGTGTTGACCTGTGCAGGACTATGTGTCGACATAACCAAGACAAAGGCTACAGACTTTAAAAAGATAGCAAATGTGCCTACCTGAAAGATGAATGTTTCGATACATAAAGTAGGAATTTCTGTAATTTCATAAATGTTTTAGTATGTGTCGACCTATTCAATGTATGTGTCGACCCTGAGTCTTATAGAGGCTACAACCTTTAAAAATGAGTTACATGTGTCGACCTGAAAAGTGGATGCGTCGACACATGTAACGAAAATTTGAGCAAACACATTTTTAATGACTTGACTCAGTTCTAAAAGGACTTTTAATGATTCCCAAACAACCTACGACTTTTATATGATCATGGTGCCACACTAAACTCAGAGATAGTATCCAACCAAAGAAGTGCTAGATTCTCATATTTTTGACATTATTCTAAATAATTAAGGTACCAAATTTCACTCACAAACTCCACATTTTTTATGATGGCAAAAATGCGACGATTCACTTCAACGATGCTCCCCCTGAATGTGTGTTTTCACTCTTTATCATCACATATATCTTCTTCCCCTTTAACAACATCAAAAAGAGACAAAGAACACAATTAGAAATGTCTTATCCTTTAACTCACAACAAAATTAATACAACATTTCAGAGGCAATGTTGCATAGTGAGAGTGTAAACATACATACACCATGATATATGTTATAACACTATTAATAAAATAGATAAAAACCAGACCATAATCAAATTCATAATACAAAGCAAGCAAAGTTGCACACATTGTTCAAACACACAAGAAAATAAAGTACATGAAACCAAACAACAAATTGTTCTTTAAATGCAATGCATGAAAGGAAAATTAACAACACTTAAAATAAATCCAACACATCAGCGTTGATTATTTCCACCACGATTCCTTTGATAGGTTCTTCCACTTCTACGCACATCCTCATAAAATGCAGCTGCTTCATCACTTTGTTGAACACTAATTGTCTGAAGATGGTTGGTTTTTCCTTGTATAACTCCACTTGAACTATGAATTCCTTCATGAAGAGATAGAAACTCTGCAGTAGAGGTCAAGACAAATGCTTCAAAGTTGGTCTCTTGAGTATCCAATCATGCATTGACCTGCCTGAATTGTTTATTTTGAGCATTCTGAAAACCAATGCGCCATTGCACTTCAATTACACGCCATTTTACTTATTCTTCATAGTGTTGATTTTGTCGAAGATGCATGTTTTGAAACAAAGATAGAATCTCATAGTTGAGAATCTCATAGTTGTTTTTTGTATCAGATCCATATCTATTTTGATATGAATCATCAGCATTGATGTAAGAATCTCCATTATTGCATAAAAGATTATTATACAAAAATAAAATACACAACCTTAAATTTATATTAAATAGAAATAGATAACAATTTATTACGTAAAAGATTTTTATAATTGTTTCCACCAACAAAAACATATAATTATAATGAATTGAAAATAAAAGCATAATAAAATTAATTCATAAGAAAAACAAATACAAAATGAATACATCAATCAATAGTGAGGTATATTCTCTGCCATTATTGAATCATAAACTCCAATCTCTCGCTGATTCAGATTCTGCACTGGCCTTGCATTCTTTTTTGCATACTGTGGCAATTAAATTAAACATAATAAGGATTAATTGAAGTTCAACATTTCATTAGAATTATTAACCATACTTAACTACATATTTAGAAATAATAAACATCATTATTAGTTTATTACTTACATATTTAAGTACGGAATTCTCCAGTAACTTCACTTGTCCTCTTGAAACAGTTCTTATCTAATGAAAAAAAAAACAGATTCAAATTAAAAGATAATCATATGATAAGATTAATAATCAATAAGAATGAAATATTTAAGAAAAGAAAAGAAAAAATAACATTACTATACCTTGGTCTTAATGGTCCAAATGATACCTTCAGTGCAAGGAGGTGCAGTTAGTGATCCCATATATCTGTAATACACGTTTGAATCCTTGAATATTTTTGATGGATCAATAACACCTATGCTTGCTTCTTCATCTTCATCAGGAACTTCGACTATATACTTTACGAGCTGAAAAATATATAAATATATATTATTATGTAATTATTATCCTCTATGAATATATAAAAATGAAGAGTTTTTGAGTTATTGATAATTATTGTACCTCAGAAAGAAATGGATCTGGGGTGCCATATTTATACAAAATACCAACAACAGCTGTCTTGTTTGTTCCATCAGGCTGAGGGCTAACATGAACCATATGCAACTCTAAGTCAAACCTAAAAACCATTAAAGACCAAAGTTAGGGTTTGTCAATACCATGGTTTGAACTCAGCCCTAGGCATGCAGTAGTATTAAAAAAATTTAAAGAATTTTTGAGGTTCATTGTTGTCCTCTTCAGTTCGAAAGGATTAGTCTTTATAAAGAGAAAGAACTGGTTTAGAGGAAGAGAATTTAACCTCCTGCCATTGATGGTATGTTCAGATGGCCAGTGCCAATGGCTTTGTTGAAGAAAATAATCATTTCCATTGATGTTTATTGAGCCGGCATCTCCTTTCCAAGTGATCTGTAATCATTGCATAATCAAACATAAATTACTTTCCGTTCAAGTTATCTTTACAATCGTAAAATCAATAGTACACTTACCGCAACATCGTGACCCCGGTTCGATACGGTGGCATATTGAGGCTTATAGTAACTCGTTAGCCTTCCCAAATTTGGGATGAGAGTCACTCTTTGACTTGACAAATCAATAGGAGATTGCATGTCTCCTTTACATGCTGCCCATTCTCTTTTTAGATCACCCCAATGTTTTGGTCCATCTGCACTTTCTTCATTGTAACCGTACTCTACAGTGCACCAATATATCAAGGTTATCAAAATATTCAACTATTGAAAAATGAGCGTTAGAGAGGGATATTATTTTATTATACCAGGTTCTTCAACAGCACTTGTTAATGTTGAATAAAATAGAATTGTTATTGATATTACTAGTAGTATTGAAATCGAAAAGAGGTTTTGGCGATGCATGTTTCAGAATATTCAAAGATTAATAACTATGTTTCTGTGTACTGTGAAATATGATTGTGGAAATATTTGGTACACAGACTTTGCTTTTTATAGATTGCCATAACTTCCAACGAGAGGAGTTTATATTATAATACTTGAATTTTTCTTTTCTAAGAGCATGCATGACAACATTTTTTATAATTTTTTTATTCGTTTCAAACATGACCAGCATTTTATAGTATATATATTAAGGATTTTAATTGATTTTTTCATCTCATGTCAGCTTCTAATTCATCAATTGAACTTCATGTTTAACTTTGTCAAAATATTATTTATATATAGAAAGAATTAGTCCATAGGAATTGGAAGGCTTTTGCTGTTTTTCTTTTTAATGTGTTTATGTCATGGTTGTTGTAGAAATGGTCATCATAATCTTAAGGGTGCAGGTTAAAAGTTATTGACTTTTGATATATTGGGGTTCGTGGTCCGGTTTGGATTGGTTTTAAGATAAAAATTCATTCGTTTCAAACATAAATTTATTTGCGGTTCGATTCAGTTTTAGATGATATATTAAAAAAATTCAATTCGATCCGATTCAATTTTATGCGTTTAATTTAGATCGATATTTTGATATTCAAATTACACATTATATTTTTATTAATATTATAAAACTATTAATAAATCATAGATTTGATATAATATATAATATCCAATATATTAAAATTTAATATTACAAAATAAGAATGATCGATTATAGTTGAAATAATAAAAATAAATAGATTATATCAAACTAATAAATATTATTAAAAAGTTATTATCATCTAATAATAAATTCACGTAACATATCATACTAATAAAAAGTAAATAGTATAAAAATATATATATGCGATTTTGTTTGGTTTGAATCACTTTTGAAAAATTAATCCGAAATTCTATTTGAACCGATCAGTTTTCACAAAATAATATCCAAATACATCTAATCAATTTCTGTTTTTTGAGGTTTTCGATTTTTTTAATCAATTTTTGATTTTTTATTTAAATTTGTTTAGATTTTAACACTCCTAATTTAAGTACAGAGAAATACTTATGTAAATATCTATAAATTCATATTCTTATTAATAATCAATTAAATTTTTTTTAAAATTTATTTAAAATTTAATTTATTTTTTAATTGAGATCATAAAGGTAATTGCAATAAAGAAAAAAAAAGAAAATTTTATTTTAAATTTTATTTAATAAAAAAATATGATTGATTGTTGCAGTTATTATATTTGTTCATGTAAATATTTTTCTTAAGTACAAAACAACTACGTGTTAGATGTGATGTAGAGGTAAAATTATTGATATATTAATTAACAAATTGATGTACATGCATGCATAAGTTAAAGGTTTCATATTAATTATATCTTAATTATTTAATGTGGACAAAGAGATATACACTATAGATATTAGAACGAGTACGTGTGTATTATATTATTCGCAATTAAATTGAATGGGACAAAAAAAAAATAATTATTTCATCACCCCAAAAAAGTTGACGTATGCATCACCAAATGGGGTTGAAATTATCCACCCATATACTTCCGCATACACTAACCACTTCAACACTTTTTCTTACGCGGTTAATTATGAAAAACACCATGACCATGTAATTTATTATAAATAAAGAGTCCAAATAGTTCTTTTATCTGGGAGGACCGAAGTCCAAAAGAAAAAATACAAAGTAATGTTTCTCATATAATAAACCAACTATATCATCTATGAAACTTTCATTCACTTCTCTATGACACAACTTGTAGAACACAAAATTAGTCATTAGATTGATACTTACTTTTGTAAGTCTATTAGGGTATTTGTTGACTTCTCGATTAACGTATTTTTTTCATACATATATTATACGCGTTTGGCTCCTTCTTCTGTTCATCTATACATGTATCATACGTGTTTCGCTCTAGCACTCAAGTCTCATACGCATATCATACACGTTTAACCAGAGACATTTTTCTTCTCAAAATCCTCCCAAACATCCCATATGCGTATAACCAACCCATACGCGTTTGGCCTCCCCTTCATACGCGTATCATACGCGTACCGGCATAAGGCCGTGCTGGCACTGGAGACAAGGCGCATTACATACGCGGATGGCCCCTGGGCACGCTTCTCATATGCGTATCTTACGAGTATGACCAGTCTGCTACTTCAAAATTTTTGCTATCGCACTAGAACGATTTTCACTCGTTTTGAGCACTTTCAACTTCTTAATTTGGGTCAAAAACAGTATTTTTACACATAATAATTCATAGGTCCATCTAATTTCATTATCCTACGATTCTACAACAATTTCTACCTATAGTTTTTTAATTTTCGTCACGTTCCTAGATCTACAATTTTCCAGATCTAGGACTTCATGAATAATACATCAACAACAAGATCAACAATAACAACACATTCATGACATCATTAGATTCACGAATTCCACACAAAATCACATGGAAACAACATAAAATCCAATAAAGAAGAACATTCATCAATTGTTCATGAAACCTAAAGAGGGGAAGGAACCCTCACTACCTTCTCATGCTAATATCACCATTTAGAGAACTCATTCACCCCCTTACCATAATTTTCAGCCTTGATTCATCAATAATGGAGGAATCTCTTTTTTCCTAGTTTTTCCCTTCTCTTCTCTATTTCTATGTGACAGTAATTTTTCCCAATTGTTCTAACTCTTTTCTAATTATATCTTATTATTATTAATATTAACTAATAATAATAATATTAATAATAACTATAATACTAATAATAATAGTATTTCCTTCAATTTCCATTATTATCAATGTTTCACCATATGCTAATCTTATCCTAATTATTTAATTAAAACTAAGCTCTCACATACCCTTAGTTATGTCAACATAATTTAAATTCAACAAATAATGGCTGAATATTTAAATAGGGTGTTACAACTCTCCCCCATTTAGAATATTTGCATCCTTGAAAATTACCTGATGCGGATAACTCCGGATAAGACTTTCGCATCCTGCTTTCTAATTCCCACGTCATACTTTCTCCGACTGCTCCTCCCCAAACTACTTTGACAAGAGAAATTTCTTTGCCCCTCAGCTTCTTCATTTCACGGTCTTTGATCCTCACTGGTAAGGTCTCTACTGTAAGGTTATCCCTTACTTATATGTCATCCATCAGAATTACTTGAGACTGACCCGACATATACTTCCGAAGTTGCGACACATGGAACACATCATGAAAATTCAAAAGGTTAGGTGGTAAGGCCACCCTATAAGCAACAGTCCCCACTTTTCCTGAATTTTGATACGCACCAATAAATCGAGGAGTTAACTTCCTTGACTTTAGAGTACGACCTATACTGATTATCGAGGATACTCTCAAGAATATATGGTCTCCCTCTTGAAATTCAAGATCTTTCCTTCTTCTATCATGGTAACTCTTTTGTCTACTCTGCGAATATTTCATCTTCTCTTGGATCATCTTCACTTTCTCCGTAGTCTTTCGCACAATTTCGAGTCCGAGCATCACACTTTCACCAGATTCATACCAACACAAAGGCGTTTTGCACCTCCGACCATACAATGCCTCGAAAAGTGACATACCAATACTAGAATAAAAACTAGTTATAAGTGAACTTAATCAGTGGAAGATAACTATCCCATGTACCTCTCTACTTAAGAACACAAGCTCTCAACAAATCCTCTAACGACTGAATAGTTCTCTCAGTCTGACCATTTTCCTGTGCGTGATACGCAGAACTCAATCTTAGCTTAGAGCCCAACGTATCCTGCAGACTCTTCCAAAAATCAGAAGTAAATATCCACCAGCTTCGGCACAGGAAAACTTATATTAATCGGAATAAAATGAGTTTATTTTGTTAGCCTATCAACAATCACGCAAATTGTATCATGTTGTAATATGGTGGAAGAACTGACTTTTTGGTTTTATCTAAATGTGTGGATAACTAGAGTCGCCACTGACTTTTCTTTTATCTAATACTTAGGATCCAATACTTAGGAAAGGTGAAAAGAACAGGAAAGACCTTTGATAGATTTTTGAGTTCGGGGGTAAGTTATGAAAAAGGAAGGTGTTAGTACCCTTTTCATCCGTAGTTATCTACGGGCACTTAATTTCTTAGCTCACTTTTGAAAATCTTGCTTTGTGTGTGTGATTTGTTTGAAAATATTTTGAAATTGCCAATGTAAGGCTGACTTTGTAATAATTCCTATATTAGTCCTCAAGAATGTATACAAAGTGTTGTTTTTGAAAATATTTATTTGAAAGTGTAGTGTGAAAAAAAGTTTTAAGAAAAGTTGTGAGCAAGCAATTAAGAGTTTTTTACCCACTAAAGTCTTTCTTATTATTTTCCTTCTCCTTTAGAGATAGTACTATCCATACCATTAGTTGGTAGGTAGACATATCTATTGGATATGAAGGGACATGCATAGGATCATTGTATTATCATCAAAGGCAACAAGTAAGGATATTTTAGCTATTGTATCGAAGGGACTATCATCATTTTGTAGGCAACTCGAAGGGACTAGATCATTTTGTAGGTAGCTCGAAGAGTCATCGAGGGATTTTGATCTTTATTCGAAAGAGACATGATGATTTGATCGCGGGTCTTTGCTAAAGTATCCCCACTTTCGAGGGACGTGACCAATATTCGTAAGGCAACAAGAGAGGTTACCCTAAAGGTGCAAGTGTGCGAAGTGTTTGTTTTCAGTTTATTTTATCTTAAGAATTAGGGTTTTTTAGGTTCAATTATTAGTCTTGCCATACAAACCCTAGTTACTAATCATAGCATAAAAATATAAATGTGAGAATATAAATGTCCTACGCAATTACATCCTTGGAGCTGATACATAATAAGAAAAAAGATGCGGAAAATAAATCTATGTTATTACAATAGAGAGTGCATCCTATACATTTGATTTGTGAATTAAAAAGAAATAAGAAAATTGAAAAAGAATGTTAAAATGCTTTATGATTTTTTT